CCCCCCCGAGAAATCCGAGCAGCAAATGTAGCTCACCGTCCCCCTCGTAGAAGGCGTTTTCTATCTCGATGAGGTCGTCCGCCGCCTCCCCATCGTTGTCGCTGCCGTAGTCGTACTCCTCGCCATCCTCATAGTCGTACTCGTACTCTGGGGAACAGAAAAACAAAACAGTCCCGACAGCCACGGGCGCAGAGCAACGGCGACAGCGTTCAGCGAGCAACAGCGTCCAGCGGGTACCGTTACGGGCAACGCACCCGAAGTTGTAGCAGCAGAGCGAGCAATGAATTCAACACAGATCTCGCCGACAGACAAGATGTTTGGGGTGTCGGCGCGTGTACTGCGTCATCACGCTCGCGGGCTCTTGTCGAGAGCGTTTTGCACAAAGGAGTGACTCAAGTTCCTTGAATATTTAGAGAGAGAGAGAGAGACAGAGAGCGAGAGTGATAGCGAGAGCGAGCGAGAGAGAGTGAGAGTGAGACATGGGCACGCAAGCAGAGCCCCCCGGAGATCTCGGAGGTTCGTATCCTGCCCAGTACACACACAAACACAAGACGAGGCCAAGTAAACTCTGGGGTTTTAATCGAAAAGCTTCGGCAGCAGCTGGGTATTCCCCCTCCCCCTTCCCCTCCCCCCATTACCATCGGGGTTGGGTTTTGGTCGCTTGGCAACGACGTTGTGAAACAAGCCAACTCACTTCGTGAACTCGGCAACCAGGTTACTGTTTTTTTTTTTTTTACCTCCGTTTTTTTTTTTTTGGCGGTAACCATAATGGTGGTCGAGTAGATCATGTTGTGCGGGGTGGAGAACCCTCACTCCGCGCAAGGGGGATGATCGCACCACGTCGTGTTAAAATGGTCAAGCACCCTCGGGGCAGTTACACAGTGCTCACAACTGTCGCTGGAAGTGAAAGCACCAGAAAATAAATTAATTCATACGCAGCTGTCATCCGTACGCAAGGAAGTAAGCACAAGATGCCGAACACCCTTAGCAGGATGCAGCGCACCCTTCATGCGACTCGCCGAATATCTCACGGCGCTTCGCGCTTGGTGATGTGAGAGCCTGGTCCGGTGAGAACCCGGCGTGCTCCGTCCCGGCTTTGTAGGGATGCGAGGTCAACGGTCAAACGAATACGGCATGCACGACTATGAGTACACCCCCCCCCCCCGCCTCCTCAAACTCAAAATATACGAAAAGCGCGGTCATGCTAGACGGAAAACTGTCTGAATTCTTCGACATTGAGCAGGGGGTCCTACAAGGTTGCATGCTGTCCCTAACATCGTTCCAGGTGTTCATCAACGATCTCTTGGAAGTCGTAGAGGAAGTCCGGGAGGGAATAAAAGTAGGGGACACGGAAACTTCGGTGTAGGGAATGCGAGCACTGTTTGCGGATAATTTTGTTGGTATGTCGGACACCTCTGAGGGACTGCAACTGCAAATCGACGCGGTGAAGAAGCTTACTGATAAGTGGAGGCGGTCAACGTAAAGAAGAGTGCCGCCATGGTATGCAACGAGGACAGGGAGGAACCAGTAGAAAATAGATGGAAGTGGGGGATCGAGGGGATTGCAGTAGTGGACCAGTCCACATACCTGGAGATCGCAAAAGATTGCTCGTGGAACGCACACATGCCGAAGGTAGCGGAAAGGGGAAAAGCACGAGCAGGGAAGCTGCACCCAATACTCGGAAATCGGCACCTCGATACACGGATCAAATTGACGGTTTTGAAGAGCGATTGCACCGCCGCTAGAGTACGCCGGAGAAGTATGGGAAGGAAGAAAGAAGGGAGTGAAGGAACTCGAGGCGGCGCAGATGAAAGCAGCGAAAATCATCCCAGGATGCTCCAAGCGCACAAGTAATGCAGGCGTCAGGGCAGAATTGGGGATCCAATCCCTACGGTCGGGAAGAGACGCGAGGAAGCTGACATGGCAGTATCGCATGTGCGGGATGGGAGAGGAGAGGTTGCCGAGGATAGTATGGGAGGCGAAGTGGGCGAACAACAAGAGGGGTAGACAACCCACGGAATGGGTCAAGGTTGTAGAGGACATATGGAAGAGGTTCGAAGTCGACGAAGATGAAACGCTGGAAACGGAGGGTCTACAGGGGTGCAAGGAGAAGATATCTGTTACTTGTGCCGAGCGAGAAAGAACATGATCTAAGGAAAGAAACCGAGGATTGAGAGGATCTAGAAGTGTACGGAGTATTGAACGAAGGAATAGGGTTCAAGGATTACCTACATGGACCACTGGATGCAGGGACAACGCTTAAGGTCAGATTCAGGAACGGGGACATAGGCCTTCGAGAACGTCGACGAAGTCATGTGACGGTAGACGACGAAGCCGACAAGTTCAAATGTGATTGCGCTTCGAGTGCGAAGACCGTGTTCATGTAGTCGCGGAATGTCAATTGTACGAAAAGGAGAGGGAAGCGTACATGACTGAGCTGGGAAAAATACAAGGGAGGTACAGGGAGATTTTTGAGTCATGGAATAGAGAGGAGAAGACGGTAGCTGTACTGGGGAGTAGGAAGTGGTTTGAAAACGCGGGAAGTGATATCGTTCGGATAGTCAAACAAGGAACAACATTTTTGAGCCACCTTTGGCAATGGAGGAAGGAACGATTGGCCATCGGTGATCGGTCCTGTGCGAACAATGCTCCGTCATCTCGAGGACGCGTGGTCAATGGTCTAACCGCTAAGGCATGCAAAACGAAAGCGTACGCGCCCCCACCCCCCCTTCCTCTTGGTATCAAACGTACGTAAAACACCGCAGTGAAACGCTCCACCAGGTATGCAATACAGTACTACAACGACCACACGCCAAAGCGTCCCGAAAACTAAACGAAACCACACCAATGAGAACCGCGGAACGTTTTTCAACCTTAATTGGTGGAGGGAAGAGGAGATCACTGACCACGAACGTAGTCGACTTTCCAATATTCCAGCAAGGAAGCACACAGCCTGCTGGATCAACCAGCCAGTGGGATGAATGTCCACCAATATTCTAGACGAAGATGATGAAGCAGGCCTTGCGAACGATGGTTTCCGAATAAGTGTGAACTCGGCAAGATGTGGCAAATGTGTGATGGACCGCCAGACGGACTCCTTCCCCCGACCACAAAGAATCAACAACCGGGGACACGCGATGTTGTAGCTTCAAATGCAAGCGGCGGTTGCAAAATAAGAGGCAGCAGGTGCAGTAGACTCTACAGTAGCTGGTCCTCCTGGCTCCTGATGCGCCGCTGTGCACAACGCTCTCGAGGAGAGCGTACAGCAGTGTAGCAGATTCACCAGCGAAGTTGGGTCCTGCTGTGAATATCTGCTGTACTCTCTCTAATTGGAGCCTTCGTACAGCAGTAGTACGTCTCGCTGCCTCGAACACAGGTCACCGCTGCTGCTGTGCTGCCGTGTGCAAGTTGTTCGTTTGTGCCTTCCCGCGCGTTTCAAGAGGGACTGGACGGTTGCATCTCTCAACGGCGGATTACCCTCGCCATTCCATTCACCATAATTCGCATGGAACGCCCCTACCGCACACACGGCTACTGCAACACTCGCGGCACACACACACACTGCCGGAGGGATCATGAAGACTGAGACAGCCGAGGGGGCACAACAACAGAGACTTCAGCACTGCGCAAAAAAAAAACTTGGTGGTACTTCGAGCTGCCGTCGAGTTCACCCTATCAGGGTGCAGAAAGCAACCACGCCTTACCTTCCCCGTCAGACATATCTCAGCCTCCACACGCGCTTGCCGCAAGATGCCAGCAGTCGCCCGAGCGAGTGCTGAGTGCGCAACAGAAAGGGGGGGTGGCGAGCAGGGGGAAACGCAACAAAGGTGGAGGGGCGATGTCCTGATTCTTCGATTCACGGAGCACCGTGATCTCCAGAGACGCGGATGGATCTGGGCGGACTGGCTGTTTGTGCTTTCGCGCCTGCCCTCCGCGCCGAGGGCAAGCACACATGCTGTTCTGCTGGATTGGTCCGTTGGAAAGTCTCAAGAAGGGGCCTTCTGCATGCATGCAATGTACATACAATGAACCAGCAACAGAGGAAGAATCTTGACAATTTCGCTGGGATTCCACGAAAGCTTGCCACCCTGTGGGATGGTTTGCATATCGCGTCGACATCATCTGCTTCTCAATGTCGGTTGGAATCCCGAAAAATTCCAATTCGAGGAACTCCAGCCCAATCGAGCAGGAATCCGTGGCGGATTCCAACTTGGGCCATCACAAATTCCTACAGTAGCAGGAATCCCGGGGGGATTCGTGAAAAACAGGGCGCGCCCCCGCCTTTTTTCAATCTGAGCCAGTTGCACACCGCACGCACGCAGACGTGCTGCTGCTATGGTGCGCCTCGTAGAGTTGAGGGCGGTGTTGGCCGTGCTTTCATTGGCGCTTGCCGCGCTGCATTATCAACAGCAGCTTCTGGTCGGGTAGGTGCGACAAATGCGCCGGGAGGAAGAAGATGGGTGCGACGAAGAACCGCGACCCAAGCGCCGCCGTACGGTTCGGCCGAGAGCGGACTACCGCGCTCTGCCTTGGGCAAGGATGCTTGAGAAGGCCGACCTATTGCAGGACCAGTTTGTAGATCTTCTCTTCGGCGAGAAGCAAGAACGCCTCCCAAGTTAGGTTTTAAACGCCCAGTTTAAGCACGGATCTACATACCGTCGCATCAGTGCGTCCGCCCACGCCGCGGGTGTACACCAGTGCTAGCTTGCGATGCACCTAATGCTTTAACTTGCGCCTCGCAACTTCTGAACCCAACCCTCTTCGTCGAGTTCAGCGAGGATGCGATGCAGCCGTGGTGCGGTGGTTGATTTTCCTAGAGGCAAAGCAGTTTCGGCGAAGGTTCCGCGTACCCCACCCTTTCTTCCTGTCCCTTGTAGACGAAGTGAAGGCGGTGAAATGGCCTGGATTGACGACGGACGAATTCGAGCTTGGCGGGAGAGGCACCAGGCGCTGCATCCCCGTGGAAATAAAGGTGAGCTAGCACGCGCTGCATGCACCCTAGAGATGGGCGTGGGGATTTGCCTAATGTATGTTGTGGTGCTCTCCAGGACTATGTAGACTAGATGATGTAGATGAACAAACGAGCACGTACATTCCCCGCGCACGCCGTGGTGGCATCAATCACATGATCGGTGCACCTGCATCTCGGCACACCCTGGAAAGAGAGGAGAGAGCGCACACAGTCCTCTCGGAAGATTTGTGCCGGCGGTGAGGATTAGCTCTTTTTTACGCACACGCTTCCACACCTACAAGCACCAGAAATTCCAAGCAGTCCTCTATTTGCGTGTATGGTGCTCCTATGGTATGGAGACTGCCCGCCTTAACTCTCGAAAGTCGTCCACGGGAGGATCGGCGTGCCTCATTAGCGAGCTGCTCTCCCGACGAACCAAGCTGGAGTCTATCCCTTCCGAAACACAAGCTTGATGTTGTTGTTACTCACCTTAGCACAAGTTCACGGAAAGATTCACGCGTGAGTTTTTTCCGGTATGGGTGAGGATGCCGAACGAAGACGAGCTGAAGGAGATCATGAAAACCTATGACGAGGTTGGAATGACGGGCGCCATGGGATCGATGGATGGGACGCATCTTCAGTGGACGGTGTGTCCTTATTCGGAACGTTCGTCGCACGTTGGCAAGGAAGGCTACGCTACCCTCGTGTACAATGTTGCCGTCATCCACGACATGCGTGTTTTGTCGTGTACGCGGGCCTTCCCCGGCGCCCAGAACGACAAGACCATCGTCAAGTTCGACAAGTTCACGACGGAGGTTCGAAACGGCTGGTACAAGGACGCAGAGTACACTCTGAAGGGCGAGGACGGAGGGGACATCAAAGAGAAAGGGCCATGGTTGATCGTGGACGGCGGATATCACAACGTGAGCGGACTCGTGTTCCACCGAATTTGTAGTGCGGATTGTCTTTGTTTGCACCCGGCGCGCGCCAAGTTTGGTGTTCCGTTTACTAGCATTACGTAGCGTTTAGGAACACGAGACGAAACTACAGCGGGTCGCTACTGCTGTGTCTTCAAAACTACAGATGTTGGCCCTTGACGCTTCCCCAACGTGCTGCGCTACGGCACACGGGTTGCTATTGTTCAAGTTCGGATGTGTTTTATGTATATCACGATACGGCAGGTTTGCGTTATATACTATAGGTTGGTGGCTGCTCCCTCGGGCAGGTGCATTGTTTTTTAGGTGAATGGACAGACAAACGCTGTGTATATTCTATGCGAATGTGTCTCCAAAAGAGCGACGCAGTCCGCGCGGTCCTCGCAATACGTCTGCGTGAAACGGTTCGGCAGTGTACTTGACAACCGACAATTTGGATGCTCTCCAAATGCTTCAACCCAAGAGTGTTCGTACGTGCTTGTCTGCCTGCTTGTATGCGAGTTCGTGTATCTGTTGGCTTTTCCCCCGCGACGATGGTGGTGGAGACTGAACCCCACCTTGTGTAAATTTCGGAATATCACGGTCGTCGTCGGGGTTAGACGTGATGGTAGTTGATGTGCTGGTCTGCGGTAATCTTCAGCGGTCCCCATGTGCGTCTTCAAGGCTTGATTCAAATGTCGTACCCATTCACTTTGTCCTCGCTCCCCGCCCACCCGCCATGGCCCCCATCCTTGCTCAGTGGAAGCAGCTCCAGAGTCCGATCAGGGCGCCATCAAACAAGGCCGAGTCGGGGTTCAAGAGACAGCTCGAGAGCGTCCGCAAGGACTCGGAGTGCTGCTTCGGCGTCGTCAAGGGTCGGTTCAGGATCTGCAAGATGCAGTTCCTCTACAGGACGAAAGAGAGGATCGACAACATCTTCTTCACGTGCATCATACTGCACAACATGCTTCTCGCCTACGACGGGATCGAGCTCTTGGAGCCGGACTGCGACTGGGCCGGAGCGGACGGCGACCTCGACGAAGACATCGTGCACCCTGACGTGCGGATGAGTGCGCCCACGCACGAGGATGCAGTTGTGGAGTGTGACGCCGGCTTCGAGGCATTGAGGCAGAAGTTGGTGACCAACTTCGCTTACCGATGGGGACAGGGGACCGTTGGGTGGAAGAGGTCGTGATGAGCGTTGAGAAGTCACATGCTGCTACGTTGACGGCGGGGAGGTAGGGGGGGGGGCGTCGGCTGCAAATAGTGGCCTTTTGGAATCAATCCCGCTGTTGAAGACTACATCCCTCTCCGGCGTCAGCATCGTCATGTTTCGTTTTTGGTTCTTGTTACCAAGTGTCGCCTTTGCCTTTGCCCTTGCCTGGCCTTCTTTACACTTTTACACTTTGCCGTGTTCTTGTATCATTGTCGTATGTGGTCTACTTCATAAAATCGTGTCTGGCCTGTTTCCGATTCCCTTCGAGTAATCCATACAACTGTATTTTGCGCATTGGCATCAGATTTGGCCTTTGTGTCTCGGTGTATTATTTTTCCTTTCTCGGTCCATCTTTGCGCCTTTTTTGTTGAGGGGGGGTGGGACAGCCTCTAGGCTAGGCGGAGTTTCCTTCGCTCTGCTGGCGGAAGACTGTTTGTTTAGCTTGTTTTTCGCAGCATTATGTTTTTGGGTCGGAGTGGTTTGCTTTGTGTTCCCATGGCCTGACGCGTGCGTATGTACATTATTTTTGTTTACGGTACAACATTTTTTTTGTTTTTGTTAAGTTTTTGCGGCGTCGAGTGTACCCAAATGTGTAACCACAGGCTCCTATGGTTGTTTTGGAAAAGAGAGCTACAGAGTAGTGAATGTGAAGTGAGGACACAGGCTTCTGTCAGAGACAGGGGCCGTTGTCGCCGCATTTTAAACCCACTGCCAAGGACTGCTAGGGTTGAGGAATGTAGCGAGAGGAATAAAGGAAGTGGCCCGAGGGGCGAAAGGAGGGTCGGAAGGCAACTCTCCGATTCCCCTCGGTGAATTGTCATAAATCTCCGCAATTCATTAGCTCTCGCGGTGCTTTTATTGTCGACTCTTCTGCCTCGGAAGTGTCGTATCCTATCTTGACGTGCATTGTACACAGATGCAATGGTTGCCATAATCTCGACAGGTGTCCTCCACAGAAGACAGAAGAAAAAAACGTGCACCTGCACAATTCTGTGGTCTTGTGGTCCTGTAGGTAAGACCTTCCTGCACAGCAGTGAAACGCCGGTACTGTGTTGGCCCGTATGCGTAAACAAGAACAGTTGCACCGCCGTGAAGGTGCCTCCGGTGACACGCGTATCGCAGGGCTAGGGGCCATGTTTCGTTTGTTGCATTTTTCCCATAGAGGCCGGCCGCTGAGAAAAAAATGAGCAAGAGGTTGAAATTAAGAGTGAAAGATCGGCAGCCTCGCGAAAGAGAAGGGTGTGACAGAGTGTAGACCCAAACATGACAACCGAAGCCTCCAACAATCAACTGACACACAAGAGTCTACCGATTGTTTATTGTGCCCGGTAACACACCTATGTAGCAGCCCCCCATCCGAGTTTGGAGAAGTTTGCTAGTCATCATTGTACGCGAATAAATCTACAACCTACGTTGTCTATGAAGAACACAGCGCGAAGAAAGCTTGTTCTACGCGAAACAGTCACTTGCGTACTGTAGTCCCCATAAAGACTACGTCAACTATGCGGAGTATATTTTCCTTCGTATGAAAACACTAAAAACTCATGAAGAAATGCGGCCAGGCCGAGGTCCCCGTACCATGACCGTACGGCGTCTCGTCACGCGCAACACGAACCCAAAAAACGGGAGTCATCACGCGGATATCTACTGATCGATATGAGATCTATTCTGTCTCACAATGTTCGTCGGCGATATCAATTCCGCTACACACAATTTCTCCAGCCGCCTTTCCCTGGGAATAATGTCCACGTGTAAATATCGACATGGAACGTAGACAAAATGGTTTCTTCACCAGACCATATCAACGACACCAGAAGGAAAGACTCTATTGGGATGCGCGAGGGTTGATATTCCACAAGCTAAATATCCAAGCCGAACAAACGAAATCGTCGGGACAGCAGTGCCCCAGGCTGCGAAAAGAAATACCGAGGGAGATCTACGAAACAAGGGGATCCCTCTCCCCCGGAGACAAATTAGGCAGCAAGTGCTTAATAACCTACCACCCTAAAACCCAAAAACACGCCCGATAGTTCGGTAGGAACCAAACAAGTCGGGTACTAGAGGAAACATTCCCGTACAATCACACTCCACGCGGGAGACGAAATTTGAACCACCAGCAGAGCTGTGCACTGGAAGTCACCCCCTTATTACTGCAAAACCAGAACAAACTTTTGAGCTGTCTTCCTTCTTGCTCGACCTCCTAACTCATGGTCAAGGATGAACACCTCGCTCAACAGACGTGCAAATCGAAGACGCTGTTGACGGGAAACAAAAAAACAAGAACAAGGGCACCAGGGGAGAGCTAACACAAGGAGCGCGGCGAGCGACACACAACACGGCACGACATCCACCACACGACACCGAAATCACCGGGACAGCAGCCGGTTTGGCCCCCTAAAAAGCAACCCTCGAGAAAACATTGCACACTATTCGCACACAAATGGTCGGTGTTTGTGTTGACACCGTCAATGTAGTCTTACGTGTCTGACCTTCCGTTCATGCGAGCTTGTATGAATGCCGCAGCTGCACCCGCCACCCGGCCACCATTGGGGAACTGGGCCAAGGCTTGGATAGCAAGGTCCCTAGCATTTAGTGCGTGGGAACGGGTGTCGTCAGCAACACCCCCAGCGACCGACGCTCCGTGAAGCCCCCCCATGCCGCCGGCGCCGGTGCCCACCGAAGCCACTCCGCCAACACTGGGAATAATGTCCACGTGTAAATATCGACATGGAACGTAGACAAAATGGTTTGTTCACCAGACCATATCAACGAAACCAGAAGGAAAGGCTCCATTGGGATGTGCGAGGGTTGATATTCCACAAGGTAATTATCCAAGCCGAACAAACGAAATAGTCGGGACAGCAGTGCCCCAGGCTGCGAAAAGAAATACCGAGGGAGATCTACGAAACAAGGGGATCCCTCTCCCCCGGAGACAAATTAGGCAGCAAGTGCTTAATAACCTACCACCCTAAAACCCAAAAACACGCCCGATAGTTCGGTAGGAACCAAACAAGTCGGGTACTAGAGGAAACATTCCCGTACAATCACACTCCACGCGGGAGACGAAATTTGAACCACCAGCAGAGCTGTGCACTGAAATGTCACCCCCTTATTACTGCAAAACCAGAACAAACTTTTGAGCTGTCTTCCTTCTTGCTCGACCTCCTAACTCATGGTCAAGGATGAACACCTCGCTCAACAGACGTGCAAATCGAAGACGCTGTTGACGGGAAACAAAAAAACAAGAACAAGGGCACCAGGGGAGAGCTAACACAAGGAGCGCGGCGAGCGACGCACAACACGGCACGACGTACACCACACGACACCGAAATCACCGGGACAGCAGCCGGTTTGGCCCCCTAAAAAGCAACCCTCGAGAAAACATTGCACACGATTCGCACACAAATGGTCGGTGTTTGTGTTGACACGGTCAATGTAGTCTTACGTGTCTGACCTTCCGTTCATGCGAGCTTGTATGAATGCCGCAGCTGCACCCGCCACCCGGCCACCATTGGGGAACTGGGCCAAGGCTTGGATAGCAAGGTCCCTAGCATTTAGTGCGTGGGAACGGGTGTCGTCAGCAACACCCCCAGCGACCGACGCTCCGTGAAGCCCCCCCATGCCGCCGGCGCCGGTGCCCACCGAAGCCACTCCGCCAACACCGTTCGCGGCGGCACGAGCGGTACCCGCGGCAGCAGGCGCACCAACAGCCGCCGACGCTCCGTGAAGACCCCCCATGCCGCCGGCGCCGGCGCCCACCGAAGCCACTCCGCCAACACCATTGGCGGCGGCACGAGCGGTACCCGCGGCAGCAGGCGCACCAACAGCCGCCGACGCTCCGTGAAGACCCCCCATGCCGCCGGCGCCGGTGCCCACCGAAGCCATTCCGCCAACACCATTGGCGGCGGCACGAGCGGTACCCGCGGCAGCAAGCGCACCAACAGCCGCCGACGCTCCGTGAAGACCCCCCATGCCGCCGGCGCCGGTGCCCACCGAAGCCACTCCGCCAACACCATTGGCGGCGGCATAAGCGGTACCCGCGGCAGCAGGCGCAGCCCCACCGGAATTGCCATCCACCGTGACGCCGCGCGCACGCTCGAAGTGGTCGCACATATCCTCGACCTTGCCCATGCCGCACTCCCAATAGTTTTCGGCCTGGGGTGTGCGGTATTTCCGGAGGGCAGAGGTGCGCGAGGCAAGATAAGTGGGGCTTTTCCAATTGCGATACTCCCGAAAAACCAATGCGAACTAACCATTAACTGATAGGCCGGAATCGGTGATGAGCGAGCAACACATCGCCTCATGAGCGCCATCAACCTACGCGGTACCCCATATATCACCACACACACACGGCATGCATTCTTTTACTCACTTGACGCTGCAATATTTTACACGGAATGCCGTGTTCCTTGCACTGCGGTGGTTTCGGCCCGCCTCCAGCGCCCGCGCCCTCGCCACCAGCCCCAAAGCCACTGCCGGCGCTGCCCACGAAAGACCCGCCGCGTTTGTCCTTCGCGACGGCACCAGTGGCGCCCGCTGAAGCATCCGAGCCCCCCCCGGAACCGCCATCCACCGTCACGCCGTCCGCAGCCTCGAAGGGGTCGCACATTTTGTCGATGTCGTCCATGCCGCACTCCCAATATGTTTTGCCCTGGAGTGTGCGATTTATTCGTGACGACGGGGAAGGGAAGTATACACGCCGAGGTCAGTTGGGCTCTTGGATTGGAGGTACACCGAACGCCTGCGAGAAACAAATAAACCAAGAACTCGTAGGGCC